GCAAAAGTACATGGATTAGCTTCTCGGTTGTAGTGATATTGTCTCCCTCTTGCCTGGCCATTTTATCGGTGTTAAAACCATAATGATGAGGGTCAAAGAATAATAAAATTGTTTAGCTTCTGTTTGCAAACCATCACTCCTTATTGAGAACCCCATGCCACCTTTGTCCGACATTCATCATTCTTATTAACAAAAGGCAGCAATAGCTCTCATCTCCCCACCCATCTTCTCTCCTGCAACCAAAATACACACAGTTATGGAAATAAAACTTCCCAGCTGGCAGGTGATAACGTAACTTTAATGAATGCTGATAAATTACTCATTTAATATTGGACAGAGAAAGAGACCACCATGAAAGAGTTTCTTCTTAGTGTTTCGTTCTCTTAAGAAAAGAGTAAGCTGTACTTTACAAAACTGCAAAGTTATAGAAACTGGCTTTCCTTAGAAAGCAAGGATTCCTACAGCACTTTCTGTCCCTCCCCCCGGGACACATGGTCAACCAAAAGGAGCAGCTTCCACTTACTGACTGTCAGGAGAAGTCGTTAAGAGGCCAGAACTCTAAATAATGTCTCGGTTTGAATCCCTGCCTGCCACTTGCTGGCTGTGTGATCCCAAGCCTCTGCTTTCTCAACTGTAAAGTGAGGCCAGTAATAGCCTATGTTGAGGGGAGTGTTGTAAGAATCAGAGAGCTTGTGCATGTCAAATGCTGCAGGCACACAGTGAGTGCTCCTTACATCTTGCATTTCTTACTAGCACTGTGTCCTCTGCAGTGTGTGAGGAAGGGCTTACACACAGTTGCATTTAGTTCCTGCGGTAACCCTATGAAGAGGTTGCTACTATTATTATCCCCATTTTACAGAGGAAGAAACTGAAGCTAAGAGAAGTTTAGTAACTCATCTAAAGACAGAAAGTAAAAGTGTCAGGAATCAAAGCCTGTCTCATTCCTAAGCTGTGTGTTTCCTGCCCCACTGCACCACTTCCTGGATGACCACACACACACACACACACACACACACACACACACATCCCACAAAACTATGTCACACCAGAATTGGAAAGGCATGTGTATAACTGGACCACAAAATGGTAAACTGTGAACCTCATTATCTAGGGATTCCAAATATCTCTCAATTATCTCAATCAGACTGTTTCCTTTCTAAGTTCAAGGACCATGCTTTCGCATTATCCCTAACGAAAAACAGCAAATGGTTCTGACACACAATAGGCACTCAGTACTCGCTGGATTTACACGGAAATTCACAGAAAGTGGAACTGTGTCCTGGTTCAGAATACTTTGATCAAACAACCCAAACAAACCATGAATTCCCCAAAGCTTCGGAAACCTTGCCCAACATAGCGCGTGTTTTCTGGAGACAATGAGTGTTTTGATCTGAAGCTAAGCATTTCTAATCTCATAAAAAAAAAAAAAATCGTGTGTGTGAAAACTATTCCTCTCAGGCCTCCAGGTGGGATTAGGGGAAAGGCCTCCCATGCTGCTGCTACAAAACCTGCACAACCAGAGGCTTTGGATATAATCTTGGGATTATGGTTACTTCATCCTGGGTTCTCCCAAGGGTTATGAGGGATCCTGCTATTCTGGCAAACGGATCCGGGTATTACCGAACATTCTAGACCTGTTTCCCCATCGAGGGCTGAGAAGGGGTGAGGGCCAGCCAGCAGCCTCACTGCCCCGGATGTGTGCATGGAGGCTCCCAAATAGGCAGTGTGAGAGCGTGGGTGCCCACCCCCTCAAAGCAAATGGGGGTGGGAATGAATGGAAAGAAACTGCATACGACCTGATTTATTTCTAAGAACCTCTGGCCAAGATTTTATTGGAATGTCTCCATCTGGTGACTCTTAGTATGGTAGGTAGCATTTCATCTCCTCGGCATTTTGAGGCAAGCAGTGCAGTAGAGGCAGGGCTGAGGTGAGGGCCCTGGGAGATAACATTAACATGAGGATGGCACCTGGGTGGCTCAGTTGGTTAAGCATCTGACTTTGGCTCAGGCCATGATCTGACAGCTTGTGAGTTCAAGCCCCATGTCCGGCTCTGTGCTATCAGCATGCTTCTGATTCTGTGTCTCCCTCTCTCTCTGTCCCACCTCCACTCATGCTCTGTCTCTCTCTGTCTCAAAAATAAATAAACATTTAAAATTTTTTTTAGGGTCTCCTGCGTGTCTTAGTTGGTTAAGCGTCCGACTTTGGCTCAGGTCATGATCTCACAGTTCGTGGGTTCGAGCCCCATATCGGGCTCTATGCTGACAGCTAGCTCAGAGCCTAGAAACTGTTTCGGATTCTGTATCTCCCTCTCTCTCTGACCCTCCCCTGTTCACACTGTCTCTCTCTCTCTCTCAGAAATAAATAAAAAACATTAAAAAACATTTTTTTAAAATATGAGGATGGCAGAAGCAAACTCCCATTGACTCCAAAGTCACCCCACGACACAGCTCTCAGTGTGGGCCTGCCAGACAGACTGGGCTAGTCTTACATGAAGGATTTTCTTGTGGTCAGGGGAATAAGAACAGAATATGAGGTTAGGAAGCCTGTGTTTAACTTCAACGTCTGCCATTTGTTAGAGTTTTATGATATTTGATGCATTACTGAGCCTTTGTTTCCTCCTCTGTACAACAGGAATAACAATAAACACACCTCAGAGGAACGTTGAGATGATATGAGTAATGCATAGAAGAGTACTTAGTACAGAGGATTAGGGCACACAAGAAGCACTCGGTGATGGCTGGCCACCATGATCGATCTTTTCTTGACTGCTAACCAACGAGAATACCTTGTAAATGTATGAGAGTGTCCTGTATTTTCACATGCGTGTAATGATTAACACATACACACACACAAAGGAGCTTCTTTGTGTATTTTGTGGCTGCTCCCCCAAATAACCCTGTCCCTGCAGGACAGAAATAATTGCCTGGTGTTGCAGGTGAGACAGTGGAAGTGGGGAGAGGTGAAGGCTTGTTGGAATTCATTATCTGGGACAGGGCTGGTGTGTGCCTCTGCACTCAGTCCACAGCTACCCGAGAGGAAACCAAGCAGCCAAACACACAAAGGGAAGAACGGGAAGTCAGCCTGCCTATGAGAGAGGGTAGGAGGATTCTATTCTCGTTTGCTCTGAGCTAGTCTATTCATCCACTTGTTACTTGGGATTGTATGGATTTTGCGACCCCTGAAGGTGGTGGCCTAAGGCCTGAGAAGCCTAGCTATGGGAGCCAATGCCAAGGGAAGGGCTTGTTCCGCTGGAATAAACTGGGGTGTTATTTGAATTGTTGTCTATTTAAATTTCTATCAGAGAGAATTTTCAAACATGGAAAAGTAGCGGGGCGCCTGGGTGGCTTAGTCGGTTAAGCGTCCGACTTTCGCTTAGGTCATGATCTCGCGGTTCGTGGGTTCGAGCCCCGCGTCGGGCTCTGTGCTGACTGCCTGCTCAGAGCCTGGAGCCTGTTTCAGTCTGTGACTCCCTCTCTCTCTGACCCTCCCCTGCTCACGCTGTCTCTCTCTCTCTCTCTCCTAGAAATAAATAAAAATATTAAAAAAAAAAAAACATGGAAAAGTAGAGATAAGAGTATGATGAACACCCCCTCCCCCTCCCCCTCCCCCTGTGCTGACCTTCCAGTTTCAATAATCCCCACTCTATGCCAACCCCATTTCGCCTACATCTCTGGCCATTTCCCCTGCTCCCTGATTTTTCTTAAAGGAAATACCTGGGGAATTACCAACCAATACAGACTCCCTCTGTGTTCCGCAGACTCAGGTCTAGTGGGTCTGGAGTGGCTGGGGATTTGTTGTCCTCATGACTGCCATCTTTTCCACCCCCAACTGGTGACCCTGCAAAGACAGATGCCCCTCTCCCTGGAGACGCCAAACTGGGGATCTCTGAGGTCTCCATCATTTGTAAGCAACGGATTCTGTAAGCGATAACCAGGCAGTGGGTTCTGTGAAGGGAAGTGGGCAACCCCTTCAGCTATGCAGCTGTTCGAGAGCGTGTCACAGGGGACTGAGGGACCTCACACACACACACACACACACACACACACACACACACACACACACAATGGCGGGAACAGAAAGAGATGAGACTAGAGGAAGAAGACTTGTCCTTGGGCCTGAGTGAAGACTTTCCCAGGAGAGTACACTCTATTGACAGGCCTGTCACCTGCAGCTTGATCATCTGTAGTCACGTACCAACCACCAGGACACAGGTGTCCTCCTCATGTGATCTTTCTTTCCCTAAAACCTGGCATAGTAACTGCCCATGGGGGCAAATTGTGTGACGTTGGTAACATTTGACAGGACTTTACCTTCAAAATATCAGATTTATGACTCTACTTCACCCACAGTAGGTAGTCAATAAAAGCCCAGTGAATGAATAAGCAAGAGTAGGGTTATAAGAGCTCTGACATGCCAGCCAATCAGCTAGGATTTCTAGCCAATCCCACAGCAGTGCAAGGGGCTATGATATGTCCAGGTGCAGATGAGGAAACTGAGACAGGGTATATGGAAGCATGTAGCACATGAGGATGATTACTATATGCTCAACGTTTGGGAATGCTTATTACTATTACTGTCCAAAGCCAGGCAGCTTCCCCCAGTGGGGCAGGGATTTGAACTCAGGTCTGCCTGGCTCTCTGGTCAGGCTGCCTTGCTAAGCAGTGTCTATGCTGGAAGAGTAATAGCCAGCTGCCTCTCAAAGGAGACTCAAGTCACCAGGGTCAAGACACAAACATGTGAAAAACATAAACCACTTGGCAAGTCCCAGACAACGAGGAATTTCAGGATAAGGAACAAAATTGGGGGAGCTGGTGTACATTTTTTTTAGTAGAGAACTGCAATCTTTCAAGGAGAGTGGGTACCAAGCACATGTCCCTGGTGGTCTACCCTGCTGCATAGGACATGCACATGATAGCTCATCGACACTGGGAGAGGACAAGCATGTTTGAGCCTGGCAGAAGGCACGAAACCTGCCGAAGCAGGATAATGCTTCTTCTTACCTCTTTGCCCTGTCTTTCTCATCTTCATCCATTAGATTTTCTACGCAGTTTTTCCTGCGAAAAAAGAACAGATGATTACCGTCTGCTTCTAGAACTTTCTTCCAGGTCTTTTCTGGGGTCATTGTTTAGGTCTGATCTAGCCCACAACCTTAGCTCAGAGGTTCTCAAACTTTTTGGTTCCAGCAAAACCCTTTACACTCTCAAAAATGACTGAGAACTCCCAAAGATCTCTTGTGTATGTATGTGGGTTCAAACTGAAAAATCTTAAACCCGCAAGCACTCATTCTAGGTGCCACTCAGTCATAGCTGTCAAGGAGCTTCTAGAAAAGTTCACTGAATATTCATGAGCATAAAAAAAGGCAAATAATGTGTTAGTATTAGGAAAGTTGTTTTGACTTCCCAGACCTGCCAGAGGCCCCCAGATTACACTTTGACAACTGTTGTATAGACCCGGCTCAATAAAGTATCTGTTTATCTCAAACCTTAAACCTGAAAGGTGCCCATGACATTGTAAAGGTGAGCATTTATCTATGTGGTCATTCAAACACACAGACCCCTTTTATATGCGGCTGGGAAGAAATCACAGACCCAAAGTACTATAATCCGCAGTCCTTCCTTTAAGGCATTTACACTTCCCGAAACAGTTAAGGCAGACAGATGCGAAAAATTAAGTAACAATCCAGGAATGTTCTTGCAGCCCAAAGTCATTGGAGTCACTACCTCACCGCCCGGAGCCTGTACTCTCCTAGGCGGCCAGCTAGATTTCTTGCTGCCTCACAGATCTGGGTCCCTCTACCACATGCACGCACAGTTCAGGCTCCTTATTTCATTCACATGTTTCCCAGGGTCCTGCCTGTCTAGGGTATCCCCTCCAGCCAGCCTTCAAAGCAGAAACACTCTTAGGGGGTCCATGAAGCCAGAGCCTTCAGGAGTGGCCTGGAGGGCAGAGCGGCTGAGATAAGGTGTGGGGACCCCGGAGAAGCTGAATCGCCACTGCCCACACGCTTCTATTGGAAGAGGGTCTGAAGTCAGAACTCCAAAACCAATACTTTGCAAATGCACTAACCCTCTCAAAACTTAAAGTTTTAGATACTTTTTACTGGGGCAAATGAATACTTCTAAGATAATTTGGTTTTGTGATCTGGGTCTGCCAAGGCCATAGGGAGAGGTGTGAGTTGTGGAGAGGAGGAGGAATTCGAGCTACGGCCCTTGTTTACACACATGCCCCATTCAGTAAACGGCAAGGCATATTTTAGCGACAGAGTTGCAAGACATGCCATTCAGCAGTTGAGGCTTGTATCATAATTAAAAGGGGGTTAACACATCTGCAAACAGGCATGTGCTTAATGTCTTCCAGATGGAATCTGTTCAAAGTTTTAAGACATGAAAAATGCAGTATCAACTCATTCAGTGATGCACTGCCCCAGGTCCATGCTACGAAGCGAGTGCTGGCTGTCCATGCATCCAGGGCATGAGCGAGGACCCAGCCATGCCGAGCCCTTCACCAGGTGCCCCTGGGCAGCACACATTCTCAGGAGGGATGTGGGCTTCACACTGCTTTCCTGAGGTTCCAGAATCTTAGTCATAAATGACTTGCTTAGTCATAAATGAAACATTTAGGAGTGACTAATAGCTATTCTTTATTGACCACATCTTCTCTGTTTTATATTTGTTTGTCCTTAAATGTTTCCTGAATCCATGAAGTCTCGATGACTTACACCTCCTTCCTCTTCTTCCCCATCCCTCCTGTTTCCTTGCCTGATTCCTGTCATCTGTCCCCTGTCTGCGCCACTCTGCTCAACCTCACCTGCTGAAGAGATGGCACCTAAGCCAAGGTCCTCAGTAGCACCTGCCACAGGAGCCCCATGCCAAAGTCCTCGCTGAGCCCATTGTCTCCCATGTCCTCCCCATGTTTTTCTTTTTTATTAACAAAACACACATAACATAAAATTGATCACTTTTACATGTACAGGTCAGTGAGATCAAGTGCCTTCACATTGCTGTGCAGCCATCACCAACATCTCCAGAAACTCTTTGCATCTGCACCACTGCATCTCTGTGCCCGTTAAACACTAACGTCCCTTGGGGCGCCTGGGTGGCTTAGTCGGTTAAGCGTCCGACTTTCGCTTAGGTCGTGATCTCGCGGTTCGTGGGTTCGAGCCCCACGTCGGGCTCTGTGCTGACTGCCAGCTCAGAGCCTGGAGCCCGTTTCGGTCTGTGACTCCCTCTCTCTCTGACCCTCCCCTGCTCACGCTCTCTCTCTCTCTCTCTCTTCTATAAATAAATAAAAACATTAAAAAAAAAACATTTAAACACTAACGTCCCATTTCTGCTCTCCCGAGACCCTGGCAACCACCATTCCTTCGTTCCTTCCTTTTTAAAAAATCAATCTTTTTATTTAATGTTTATTTATTTTTGAGAGACAGAGTGAAAGTGGGGGAGGGGCAGAGAGAGAGGGAGACACAGAATCTGAAGCAGGTTCCAGGCTCTGAGCTGATATTTCAGATGTGGGGTTTGAACTCACAGACCACAAGATCATGATCTGTACTGAAGTAGGTCGCTTAGCTGACTGAGCAACCCAGGTGCCCCCATTCCTTCCTTTTTAAGGCTGAATAATATTCCATTGTGTGTTTATACCAACTTTTGTTTAGCCAGTCATCCATCCACGGACACTGGGTGGCTTCCCCCTGTTCACTATTATGAGTAATGCTGCTATGAACATGGCTATGCTCCTGCCGCCTCATATATTTGAGCTATTCTTTTTTTTATTTTTAATAACCTTAGCTGTTTTTTTCTAAACGTTTATTTATTTTTGAGACAGAGAGAACAGAGCACGAGCTGGGGAGGAGCAGAGAGAGAGGGCGACACAGAATCTGAAACAGGCTCCAGGCTCTGAGCTGAGCTGTCAACACAGAGCCTGATGAGGGGCTCAAACCCACAGACCATGAGATCATGACCTGAGCCGAAGTCGGACGCTTAACCGACTGAGCCACCCAGGCACCCCATTTGAGCTATTCCTTTACTTCAAGATTTTCAGGGACAGACAGAGCCCAAAGGCACACAAAAAAGGGGGGTCAAGAAATGGGGGGGGTCAAAGGCAAAAAAAATCTCTTCTGTGAGGTCTGGGTAAAGGAATAGTAGAGAAGTTTAAGAGGTGACAACTATTTTTCTCAACTGCATAAAGAGTTTCCACTGAGAAGGATTTTGAGCAAGTTGTGTTTTTTTTGTTTTTTTTTTTTTTAATGACCACACAGAGCCAGGGAAGAGAGAATGAGCTTAAGTGAAGGCAGAGAGATTCTGTCTGGAGCTGAGAAAATAACTGTTGATGTGATTAACCTCCAGAGTGAACAAGGAAGGGAAGCTATAGAATTTTTACTCCAGACAAATATATATTCTAAGTATGTCAGACATTTATGAGATTTCTTAGTCAGAATCCCAACAGGAAATAGGACTTCGTTACCAAGTGCGTGTGTGGGGTCTTGGGAACCAATATGGATGGTGCAATACCTGGGGCTGGTATCAGATGAGCTGTTAACAGCCCTGAGGGTGAAGGGACCAGAGGCAAATAGTTTCCCAAACCTGGAAGAAGTGTTTCATATAGGGGAGGAAGCACTAGGTGGAAGGATGTGGCCAGCATGAAGAAACCTTTTGAGAGAGGAGTCAAGGGAATAAATATCTCACTTCAGTCTCCACCCATCCCATCTCCTGTTTGTGTCTCTTATTAGCTATGCCACCCAGAAGGCTGGGGCAGGGAGGCCATGATGTCATCCACATGGGGAAGCCCCTGGTGCAGAGAGAAGGGTGGAGAGTGTGAAGGGGAACAGGAAGGATGCCCAGCATGCCACTAATGTTGGTCTCTGAGGGGCTCTTCCAGTTCTGGATGTGTCTGGATTTTTCTGGAACACAAAGTATTTGGAGCCTTTTAAAAAAACCTTTTACATCTCTCCAAATCTGAAGTATGGGCATCTGCATGTAGAAATAATAACTCTTAAGAAACAATAACACAATAACGATGAGAGAGGCTGAGCAAGGAAAGCCTGACAGAGAAGTGTCTTGAAACTATTTAAGCCACAAAATCAGTAATGATAGATTGCAACCCACAGAAGAAACTATTCAGGAGTCCATACTGATACAAACAAAGAAAGGGGCAGGGGGACAGGTCTCCCTTACAGAATAATTCTAATTAACAAATGTAGAAACAATATGGGAAATAGAAAATCACCATCAGGACCCCGTAGTAATAATTGTCGCAGGCAAGATCCACCGATGGATGCTTACATTAATAAGCAAAAGTTTGAGAAGACTCAGGCTATCTACATAGTTTAAAGTATCTCTCTCAAGGGGCATCTAGGTGGCTCAGTCAGTTAAGCATCTGACCCTTAGTTTCAGCTCAGGTCATGATCTCATGGTTTGTGGGTTCAAGCCCCACATCAGGCTCCATGCTGACAGTGAGGAGCCTACTTGGGATTCTCTCTCTCTCTCTCTCTCTCTTCTCTCTCTCTCTCTCTTTCTCTCTGCCTCTCCCCAACTCATGCTCTCTCTCACTCTCCTAAAATAAACTTTAAAAAAGTATCTCCCTTAATATATTTATTAATTACAAAGGAAAATGGTAACTTTATAAGTGGAGAAGGTTGGCAGACACCACCTTCCCTAAGGGTCAAAATGAACATCACCAGTATAAGTTCTACCCAGGTCTTTTGGGGGAAATAAGTGCTCATTCTCCTGGGTGTTTATACCTAGGAGGGTAAGTGCTGTATCATATGGTAGCCATATGCTTAGTTTTTAAAAAACTGCCAACTGTTTTCCATAGTACTGTACAATTTTACATTTGCACCAGGAGCATATGAGGGTTCCAGCAGCTCCGCATTCTTGCCAACACTTGGTTCTGGTTTCTTACATTTGGTCATTCTAGTGAGTGTGTTGTGGGATCTCACTGGGATTTGAATTCTCATTTCCTTCATGATTGATGATGCTGAGAATCTTTTCATGTGCTTTATGACCACTGACAGCTTCTTTTGTGAAGCTCTCAACTTTTTTGCCTATTTCCTTTTTCT